ACCAAGATGCATTATGTAAAGGTACAATTCCCAATGAGAAATGTAATTGTGTTGTATACCTACAATGTACCAATAAAAGAATTTAATTAAAAGAAAAAAGAAACAAAAGCAGGATTTCTGTATGGTGATGATGCTGAGTCCAGGCCCACTAAGTTAGCTAAAATGTGGTGGGGTCAGGCAGTGCAGCCATCTGCCCTTTGCTGACCCCAAGGCCATGGTGGTATTCCATGATGAGGTGGAGATCAAGGACTTTCAATATGATGAGGATTCGGAAACACATTTGTACCCCTGGTCATGTGGAGGTAACTTCTCCATCACAAAGGAAGATTTGGAGAATGGAGAAGACGTGGCAACGTGTCCTAGATGGTCTCTTATTATAAAAGTGGTTTATGACAGAGATCAGTTTATGTGTGGAGAAACAGTTTTACAGCCCCTTCAGCCAACAAAGAATTAGTTAAATGCTGAAGAAGCCTTCAGGAATTCACATCCTGGATGGAAACATTGAATGAAAAGTCCCTGGATTTGCAGTGACAACTGCTTTCTGATTTGCTGTTCGGGAGAGCGTGGATCTGTTCATCGACTGCTGGGTTCATCTTCAAATAGAGAAGCAAGCTCATGACTTTTCTTATCTGGATTTCATTCTTAGAACTCTGACTTGGAAGTGTTCTTAATTACCCAGCCAAATTTAAAGAAAGGTAATTTTAAACGGTGCTTTCTTTCCTTTAGTTTCATCATTTTTATATCCTAAACCTAATTCAGTATCTGATTACAGCATCATCTACCTCATTCAGTAGGATTCCTTCATTAAAAAGAGATTATATTTTAACTTAGCTATTAAAATGAGTAAAATTAACCCTGTTGTTGAATGTTGACATCAGCTTTGTGGTTCTAAATTTAAGAAAATCTGTTGCTTTGTCAGTACTGTGCTTGCAGTTCCCTCACCACACCAGTCTCCTCAGTCTTGCCATTATTAGAATGCTCTTGTTCATTCAACATGCCATTTCTGTTACACTTCATGCTGCATTCAGTTGTGGCATTGAAAAGGAAAGAGCTGGGCATGGTGGCTTACGCCTGTAATCCCAGGACTTGGGAGGCTGAGGAAAGAGGATCACAGTGAATTCGAGGAAACCTGGGCTATGCAGTGGGTTCAAGGCCAGCCTGGACTACACAGTGAGACCCTGTCTCAAAAAAAGGAAGGACAGCAAGGCCATGCCATAGTTTCTCCATAGCTACGAGTTAGTGAATAAGGAAGAAAGTCTAAAGTGAAATGGTCAAAGAAATGGAGTTTCCTTATATCCTGCATGTTCTTTGCAAGTCAGAGCAAGAGGAACAGCAGAAGGAAATGAAATAAGTAAGAACGAGAGGAGCCAAACACTCCAGCTTAAGTAAATGAAATGCATGAATGATTTTGCCACATCAGAGTGAATATCTTTGTCTCTGGATTTTTATTTGTTTGATGATAATACTAATGAAATTGGACTTCAGAGAGAGTTAATAAGTCTTTATGGCTGGTAGCAGTGCTTTCAGTGTACACAGAATTGTGTCACTACCAAAAGGTAAAACATTTACAACAGAAAAGGAGCCTGGAAATGGGAGGCCTATTCTGAATAAATATACCCATGAGAGCACATTTAATAAATCTCCATAACATGCAACCAAACCAGACATGCCCTCCTGCAGAGTAATGTTGCTCTGGAGAAAGGCAAAAAGAAGATAGGCTATTGATCTTCCTTTGCTGCAGTGCTGCAAGTAGCATGAAATTAGGATCACTTACATGAGAAGTGAAAAATCCCTTTATATACACAACTCTGCTGTGTATATATAGTTTTGAAAATACCAATGCCTACGAGGCTGTTTAGGGCATGGCCCCTGTGATCAGAAAATCACTTGCTAGAATGTGAGTGTTCTAGTACTAACTAGTAAATGCTGCACACACTCATCAGAAATTTAAATTAAAGCAATCTGTATGGACTTTTTTTCTTTTCCTTTCTTTCTTTCTTTTTTTTTGGTGCCAGGGATTGAACTCTGGGCCTTGCAATTTTGAGGCAGGCAGTGGAAACACTGAGCTAGATCCTCGGCCCTTAAATGGATTTTTTTTTTAATGGCTGGTGGTAGCAGCATTAGACTGAGACATAATTTTAAAAAACATGTTTATGCCAGAAGTGCATAGTACATTATTTGGTGTATTCTTGATACAATGCGAAATCTCTTTGCTGTGTGAAACACCGATGTCCCAGAAGTAATCCACACTGCCCTTGAGCAAGGTGATTGCTCACAGAGAGCAAGGTACATGTTGACTCTGGTGGGAATGAGCTGCCAAGAGAAACGAACTGTCCTGCGCTCATGTTGATGCTTCTATAGATAGTGTTAATGTGTAATCTTTTTCTGCTGCTGATGAATTGCAAGCAGGAACAGACACCCTGGTGAGCTCACTCTGTTTGTGAATACAAAAACATACCAGGTTGTTAAGCAGAAAGGAAAATCAGGGTCTTTGAAGGAGTACCGGACTTCTGTGTGATACATATGCCTTATTCAGCGCTCCCACCCCCTGCCCTGACATTTCTGGAGCACCTGTGAAAACCGCATAACCCAGGTTCTGTGTCTGATTATCTTTGTCATCTCTGGCCAGGCCAGTAGATTCCTCGTCTGTACAGCTGGGAGACCGTACCGGATGGTTTCTTAGCTGTCTGGTCTCATTTCAGGTGTGGTGGCTTGCGTGAGTTGAAATGGTGATTGAAAATTTTATACACTCAAAACTGAATCATGAATTACAGAGACTGGAAACTCCAGTTTCCTTCCATAACTTGATGTTGCCATGCTTCTGAGTTTGGAAATTATTAAATCAAACTGATTAAAAATTCTACATATACTTTATATGTACAGAAGCATTTTTCTTAGCACCCGACACTTTTTGTAACTTTACATATTAATTCATTATCAGAAAAAGTCGTACTGGTGTGCTAAATAAAATCAGATAATTCAAAAAAAAAAAAAAAAGAAAAAAGGGCAGACCCACATGAACAAATTAGAACAGCATTTCCTGGCAGAGGCACTGGGATGCTTGCTAGGAATTGAAATCTCTCAACCCCTCCAGGCTTGGTGGAGGCCTTGGGTCAGGGTTCTTCAAACTCTCCCCACAACCCTTTTCTGACAAGCCTGGTCTGAAGCTGGTGTTCAGCAAACAGATGCCCAGCACCATCAAATAAGCACACCGTTGAGGAGAGGCAGACTCCACGGCCTTTTCTGCCAGTTCTTTTTCTCTGCACCTCCTAAGTTTGATATCCGCTGCTTGTTAGTGACTTTCTTTTTTCACTTGCTTACTTTGGAGTAGAAGTCTTACACTGCTAGATGTGTTCTTTCTAAACCTCCTCTGGCTTATGAGTACTGGAGTCTGACTCCATCAAATATATTATTCTTGCAAGGTTCACATGGTAGCAGCATTTGAGACCTGCAGTGAGGCACACCTGGCCCCCTGACTCAGAAACACAGAACAGCCTCCAGCAGGGGTATCCTGCCTCCAACTTCAAACTCGCACTCTCTCCAGGGGAACTCTTCTGTGTGCAGCCAAAGAGTCAGCAGGCTTTTCTGTAAAGGACCAGATGGGAAATCTTTTAGGTTTTGCAGGGCACTGGGACTCTGTCATTATCTGTCATCACTTAACTGTGCAACTGTGTGTGAAAGCAGAATTCTTGACCAAGTGGGTGTGGTTGTGTGACAACAAAACTTTGCCTATGGATATGGAATCTTGAATTTAATGTGCCACAAATATCCTTCTTCTCTTGACTTTTTCCCCCCAATCATTCAGAAATATCATTGGCTGGTGGGCTATGTGAAAATGGGCATTGGCCAGAATTGGCCCATGAGCCATTTTTTGGCAAGACCTGCAATGGCCTATAGTTTGATTGAATGTTTGTGTGTTTTGTTTGTGTGTGTATCACATACTTACTACAGAAGTGCAGACTATACCACCTGCTCTTTGGCATCTTGATGGTGTTTCTAGGTAATATTTGCTATCACTAAATTAATAGTTGCTTATTAAAAAGCAAATCAGTGTTTCATCATGTGACTGTCAGTGTAATTAACCTGTCCTCTGCTGTTAGGCATATGGCTTGTTTCCATTAGTTTCCTAGTGAAAGGAAAGCTGAACAATTCCTGTTCATCTCACTCAGCACATGGGAGTATATAGAATGGTGACAGGTGGATCAAAAGACACATGCATGTTTTATTGTGGTGGCAACTTGAACCTTCTCTCTCCATAGAGTTTATTTGAGTTAATGTTTACACCAATAATGCATGATAGGGATCATTTACTCTTGTCAATATAGTGTTTTATTAAATATTTTTATCTTTGCAGATCTCATAAGAAATTGTATTTTAAATTTTCCTTTCTGAGTTTGAATTTTTTAATGTTTTTTTTTTGGGGGGGGTACCGGGGATTGAATTTGGGTCCTTTAAACCACTGAGCTAAATCCCTGGCCCCATGAATTTTTTAATGTTTAACAGCTGTTTGTAATTCAATTTCTGCACACAGCTTATACCTTTTGTCCACTTGAAAATTGGATTGTTGTTTTTTCTATTTTTCTTTTCACATTTTTTATTAGTGCATACTGGTCATACAGATTAATGGGCTTCATTTTGGCAGATTTATACATGCAAATCACATACTTTAATCATTTCATCCCCCATCATATGCCTTGTCCTGTCCGCTCCCTCAGTTTTACACTTTAAAATTTTAATGTATAAAATATATTTTCATCTATCCCCCATTACCTACTCTTTACCCTTTTCCTTACCCCTTATTCCCTCCCTTTTACTAATAATAGTTTCCCTTCTACTTTCTTGCCATCTTTTTTAGATACTACATATTAGGGAGCACATGTGAAATTTATCTTTTTTGAGTCTGGCTTATTAACATTATGGTCTCCAGATCCATTCATTCTCCTGAAAATGATGTAATTTTGTTCTTCTAAATAGATGAATAATACAATGGTACCTCAGTTTACAAACAATTTGTTTTATGATTTGGGGGAAGATGGCTGCGTTTGTGTTTGTGTGGGGAAGATGGCTGTGGTCATGTTTGCTAGACAATGCAGTGTTTGTGAATGGAAGCAAATTCTGTGGAATGCTTTTGTCTACAATCAGAAGCTTTCATGAACCAGACATTACTGTATGCCACTGTGTACATATACTACACTTTGTTTATCCATTCATCTGTTGATAGGCATCTATGCTGGTTCCATATCTTGGGTATTTTGAATTGTGCCACAATAAACCTGGGCATGAGGCACCCATATCATATGCTGACTTTAAATGTTTTGAGTATATACCAAGGAGCAGTATAGTTGGGTCAAATTGGTAGTTCTAATTTTAGTTTTTGAGGAAATTCCATACTGATTTTTATAGTGGCTGTACTAACTTACATTCCTACCAGCAGTACAGAAGTTTTCCTTTTTC